GGCGCCCCAACTCCCCAATCGGCCCTGCTCTGAGCCTGACCAGGGGCTGCACCTAGGGATTGGGCGTGCCCTCTGCCACCCGGGAGCAGGCCTAAGCCAGCAGGTCGTTATCTCCCGAGGGTTCCCAGACTGCGAGAGGGCACAGGCCGGGCTGGGGGACCCCCCCTCCACCCCGAGTGCACAAATTTTTGTGCACCGGGCCTCTAGTTGGTTAATAAAATTATATAGGACTCAAGAGTACATTTCTGTGATACATCACCTGTATGTTGGATTATGCATTTGCCACCCAAAGTCTAGTCTTTTTCTGTCACCATGTATTTGACCCCTTTTATCCTTCACTACCCCACCAACCCCTTCCCTCTGGTAATCACTATACTATTGCCTGTGCCTATGAGTTTCTGTTTGTTTTTCTTGTTTGTTCATTTCTTACTCTCAATTTTATATCCCACACATATTTTTTGACTTTTTCTGTCTGAGTTGTTTCACTTAGCATGTTTATGATTGGGTAAAAATATGGTACATATATACAATGGAATACTACTCAGCCATAAGAAAAAATGAAATACTGCCATTTGCAACAACATGGATGGATCTTGAGAATATCATGCTAAGCTAAATAAGTCAGACATCCATTCATATTTTTAAACGATCACTTTGGCTGTAAATGGAAAAGGAATTTCAGGGAGAGGTATGAATGGGAGCAGAGTGACCAGTTGAAACCATTATGAGCACCAGCATGATGGAGGTGGGAGTATGAGAATGTTGGACTTGAGACACATTGTGAAGGTAGAGCCAATAGAACTTGTTAGTAGATCAGATTGGGCGCAGGGACTGGAAGCAGTGAGGGGAAAAGGACTCGAGGAGAACAACCAGCTTTGGGACCACAGCAGTTGTGTGGATGCCAAAGCCATTGACGGAGGTGAGAAAGACCAAGGGAGGAAAAACGTTGAGTGAGAGGTGGAAATCAAGAATTCCATTTTGGAGATGTTCAGTTGAAGATGCTTAGTAGACATCTAGGTAGCAATGTCAAATAGGCAGTTGAATATAGACTTGAAACTTCAGGATCAGAAATCTTAGGATTAAAGAGTGTATAGTAATACATTTTCTTCTAGATGACTAGGAGACATTGTTAAAGTTGATAGAATATTTTTTTCCTTTTGGAGTCTTTACTAGATTTAGATTTTTAAATGTAAATAGGATTTTGGTTCATACTCCTGTTTAGACTCTAGTTAGAACCTGGATATCTTTCAGTGTGCCCAGGCAAAGCCTAAATGATAATGTCTTGTTAATGTCACTTCTTTTGTATGACACTTATTTTTTTATTCTTCATTATCCTGTTCAGTAAGTTACTTCTTTATTACTTGTGAGCACCTGTGAATGGAACAAGACAAGGAGCATCGCAGATTTGGAGTCTATCTTAGCATTATTTCTGAACTTATTTCTTTTTAAAAAAATCTTTATTGTTGAGAGTATTACAGATGTCTCTCTTTTTTTCCCCCATTGGCCTCCTCCATCTGGTTCCTGCCCCACCCCAGGTCTTCACCACCCTATTGTCTGTGTCCATAGGTAATGCATTATACATATACAATCTTTGGTTAGTCTCTTCCTGCCTCCCCTCCCCCTTTTCCTCTGAGATTCGTCAGTGTGTTCCATGTTTCCATGCCTCTGATTATATTTTATTCACTATTTTATTTTGTTCATTAGATTTCTTGTTCCTTTATTTTAATTTTTAGATTATATTATTGATATGTATTTATTGCCATTTTATTGTTCATATTTCTTCTTCTTTTTCATCCTCTTCCTCTTCCTTTTTCCCTTCTTAAAGAATACCCTTCAACATTTCATGTAATACTGATTTGGTGGTGATGAATACCTTTAGCTTTTTCTTGTCTGTGAAGTTCTTTATCTGACCTTTAATTCTATATGATAACTTTGCTGGATAGAGTAATCTTGGTTGTAGGTCCTTGCTATTCATCACTTTGAATATTTCTTACCACTCCTTTCTGGCCTACAAAGTTTCTGTTGAAAAATCAGCTGACAGTTGTATGAGCTCGCCCTTGTAACTAACTAACTGCTTTTTTCTTGCTGCTTTTAAGATTCTCTCTGTCTTTAGCCTTTGGCATTTTAATTATGATGTGTCTTGGTGTGGGCCTCTTTGGATTCCTCTTGTTT